CGGTCCCCCCAGGGTGCCATGGCCTCGCGGCTCCTGCACCGGCTGCGGCACGCCCTGGCCGGCGAAGGCCCCGGGGAGGAGGCCACTGGCCCGGAGGCCGAGCAGTTCCCGGAGAGCTCGGAGCTGGAGGACGACGATGCCGAAGGCCTGTCCTCCCGCCTCAGCGGCACCCTCAGCTTCACCAGCGCGGAGGACGAGGACGACGAGGACGAGGACGACGAGGAGGCCGGCCCCGACCCGCTGCCCTCTGGAGACGGGGCTTCGGGAGAAGATGCAGGCGAGTGCGGGAGACGGAGGCGGGTCCCCGAGGCCCCTGGAGTTCTGCTGCCCAGCTGCGTTCCCCCCTCGTCCGAAACTCCGACACTTCTTTCTGTACCGTCGACCCGGCCCCCACATCTTGGCTGTGTGACCTTGAGAGAGTCACAGACCTCCCTGAGCCAAGTTTTCCCTGGTGTCAGACGGGGGCAACCAGCCCCCACCCGTGGTGCTGCCGGCCCTCAATCTACAGAGCCCGGGATACCGATGATATTTTGGGGGTGGAGATATTTTAGCGCCAACTGTCTGTGTCTGCTAGGCACCCAGTCCCTCGCTGGCCCTCAGTTACCTTGTATGTGAAATGGGGAGAAAGCCCGAGTCGCCTGTTAGGACGCTGAGGGAGGATATGGCAGGTGGCCCGGCCACCCTGGCCCACTGATGACAGTCGTGTGCCCCTGCAGAACAGAGCTCCCCACCTGAAGGACAGCGGGGCAGTCAGCTGCTGGCTCGCCAGTTGCAGGATTTCTGGAAGAAGTCCCGGAATACGCTGGTGCCCCAGCGGCTCCTCTTTGAGGTGACCAGTGCCAACGTGGTCAAGGACCCACCCTCCAAGTACGTGGTGAGTGAGGGCCCAGGACCCCCTGGGCTGGGAGTCTCGAAGTCTGGCTAAGACAAAGTAGGGAAGGCTTGAACTGCCCGGGAGCCCTGCTCCGTGGGTATTGATGGCTAATCCATTTTACAGGTGGGGAAACTGAAGCCAGAAAGGGGATGTAACTTGAGCAAGTCTTCAGGCACGTGACTTCTCTGAGACCGAGTAAAGAAGGGATTATGGAACTGCCTCCTTTCCTGGTTCTGTGACTAAGAGAACTGGTGTGTGTGTTCTCCCTGCCCCCCACACTAGGGTTTTGTAAACTGTATAAGATGCAAGGTGCATAGGAAAAAATATTCTCTGCGTCACACTTGACACCCAAGTTGGTTAGTAGCCAAAACAATGGGTGCTGGGTCCAGACCAACCGTGAGAGAAATCTCACTCACTACCAACCAGTTTGACCTGGCTGGGTTGTGTAACTTGGATGACTGTTTTCTTCATCAGAGCTAGGGGGATAAGGCACAGGGTCAAGCAGGAATGAAGTCAGTGCAGGCCTTGGCATTATGGAGTGCGCGATAAGAATGGCAGCTGCTACTCTTTCATTTTGGATAGAAAGTGTTTGGCACCTAGGGCCTCTTGTGACCCCCTTACAAACCGGGGAATCAATCCTCAGGCACCTGCCCTATGTGGAGTATCCGGTCCCAAGTGTTGGACTTAGGGAATGAGGGTAAAGAACAGTGTGGGGGAGTGTCCCTGCTTTCCCTGCTAAGGGAAAGAGGAGAATGAGGTTGGCCGGGCCCTGCCCCAGGCTAGGCCCGAAACCTGGCTGGCTGGTTCTGGCCAGGGCAGCTCCCTGCCTGTCACCTCCCTCCTCTTCACACCCCTCCTCCAATTCTGACTCAGTGGGAAGGGGGCCCTGGGCCTCTCCACCCTTTTCTGCTGCTGTTAGTAAACAAGGGGCCACGCCCACGAGGGACTGCTCCAGTGAGCAGGGGTTGACGCACATCAGGTCCTAAGTGGCCTGAATCCTGGCCAGGGTCTTACACGGGCTGGAAGCCCCAAGGGTCAGTTATCAGGGAGCAGCTGGGAGACAGGGAAGTATCTGGGAGACCCTGGAACAGAATGACAAGATAGATGCATGGCAGAGGCCTGGCCTGCCTCACCAGGGCCTCTTTTGTCTAGTGGGGACCCCAAGTCCCTATTTAATGTCAGGGGGCTTAGCACACAGATGTTGGAATTGGACTGTTCCATTTGCCAGCTGTGAGCTCCGGGAATCCCTTTGGCAATTTGTGGAGCCTGTTTCCTCATCTCTCAGAGGTCAGGACAAGTTCTGTCTGGTGCCCTTGTGAAGAAATAGTAGGTGTCGGGGCTCAGCACGGCACAGGCCAGGGGCTCAGTGGTGCTACTGTCCCCGTCTGCTTCAGTAACGCATCACAAGGATACCATGGATATAAAATGTGGGAGTTTTTTGTTTGTTTGTTTGTTTTGGTCAATTTAAGGAAAGCTAGATGAACACCTGGGGTTTTTATAGACCAGTGCTTCCTGAAGTGTGTTCTGTAGAAAAATGGTTCCCTGGAATGTTAATCTCTGTTCCTTTTTTTTTTTTTTTTAAAGGGGAGGGGGGCCGTCAAAATGTTTTGGGAATGCAGGGTTAAATGAGAGTAAAGTAAGTTTCCTTCTTTTTTAAGATTTATTTGTTTGTGCAGACCAGAGGTGCTGGGGGGCCAGACTGAGAGGATTCACCAGACACAGAGTGGGGAGCAGATGTACTGAAATACACTCTGGAGGGGGTAGTGGGGGAGACAGGAGCTGTCTGCTGCACCCTGTGGGTGGCCCACAGGGCCTGAGCGCAAACTCATGCTGGTGGCTGATGATACTTAACCCGTGCACCACCAGCGAGGCCCAAAGTCAGTTTCTTTCTTGATATACAGTTTACTCTTTGACATTAATGTGCACTGAGAGTCTTCAGGGGAAGGACAGAGTAGATACCCCTAGCTGTGCAGAGTGCCTGTGAACCCAGCCGTGTTACAGAACAAATGGGAGAGATAAGTAGGGTTTGCTGTGAGTACGCCTTTCATCCCAGGCTTGCTCATCCCCATTTGAAACCTGCTGGCTCTCAGCACTATTACAGATTAATCCACATGTGGGGTCTCCGTCCCGCGGGGAGCTCCACCATCATCTCGCTTAGTGTTTCCCAAACTTCAGTCCTCCAGTACCACCTTCTCTCGTCCTCTCTAAAAGCTACTGGACTGTTCTCTGCCTTTCTTTTAATAAACCTGTTTTTTCTTAAGTAAGTTTAAAAGACAAGTTTATAGCTCTAGTGGATGTGGAAAGCCTCCCTTGCCATAAAGAGGAAAGTGTACAAACGAGAGCAGCGAAAGTGAAACAGCATGATTAAATCTTCCTCCAGGCTGTTGCCTGCAAGCCCTACTTGTGATTAGCTTTTTTAGGTCTTTTCTAGAAACAGAGAGGAGAACATTGGAGAATTATGTTCTAAAAACCAAACTGAGGACTTCTCAGTTGTGATCAGATTCAGAGAATTAGAGAGGGGTCACCTCCTGTCTGGTTCAGCTCTTACTTGCTCTCGCAACCACCTAACAGCTCGGTCCCAGAGCCCTACATGTTCCCGGCTTGAGTAAACACAGACCTGGGCCATTGCTCCATTTCCCTGAGAAAGACAGGCCAAAGAGGGGCCTCCCTTGCCTGGCACCACAGTGGTGGAGTGGCTGGCCTGGGGTTAGAACTGGAGTAGAGTCCAGTGGACTTTTCACACGTGGGCTCCTGCGGATCTCCGGAGGCCTGTCCCATTCTAGGGCTGACTGCAATCCCCCGCTGTTGCCAGAGAGGCCCTAGAAGTCAGCCCAGAGATCAGCCTGGGTTTAGCTCGCCCGTGGTTTTCCAGAAGGCCTGTCTGAAAAGGGCCGCCCTATTGGGTGGGGACCTGCCCCCGCAATGGCCCAAGAAGGGGCAGGAGGGCAGCAGCTGCAGCCTCCAAAGCTCACATTTGTCTTTCTCTCCCTGTGCTGCCTTGGGCCCGGTGACTCAGACGAGCCTCAGGTAAGATGGGCTGGGCTCGCCAGCACCTGGGCTCAGTCTCAGGGGTGAGGGCAAGAGGTGGGCGTGAGGTGGGCGGGGCCCTGGGCACTTGCACCTGCCTTGACCCCCACCCTCCCTGCAGCTCTACACCCTCGCCGTGATGGGCCCGGGTCCACCAGATCGCCAGCCTGCCCAGATCTCTCGCCGCTACTCAGACTTTGAGCGATTGCACAGAAACCTGCAGCGGCAGTTCCGGGGTCCCATGGCTGCCATCTCTTTCCCCCGTAAGCGCCTGCGCCGTAATTTTACTGCAGAGACCATCGCCCGCCGCAGCCGGGCCTTCGAGCAATTTTTGAGCCACCTGCAGTCAGTGCCCGAGCTGCGCCAGGCCCCAGCGCTGCAGGACTTCTTCGTGCTGCCTGAGCTGCAGCGGGCACAGAGCCTCACCTGTACTGGGCTCTATCGGGAGGCTCTGACACTCTGGGCCAATGCCTGGCAGCTACAAGCCCAGTTGGGCATCCCCTCAGGCCCAGACCGCCCTCTGCTGACGCTGGCTGGGCTAGCTGTGTGCCACCAGGAGTTGGAGGACCCCGGGGAGGCCCGAGCATGCTGTGAGAGGGCCTTGCAACTCCTGGGGGGCAAGAGCCCCCACCCTTTGCTGGCACCCTTTCTGGAGGCTCATGTGCGGCTCTCCTGGCGCCTAGGCTTGGACAAACGGCAGTCAGAGGCCCAGCTTCAGGCCCTCCAGGAGGCGGGCCTGACCCCCACACCACCCCCCAGTCTCAAAGAATTGCTCATCAAGGAGGTACTGGACTAATCTTGGCTAGACTTAAGGCCTTCATGGGGCAAAGCACTGCCCCAGGTGAAGCAGGGGTGGTGAGGACACAGACAGCGGTTGGGAGGCTGTAGGGGTGCTGGAAACCCCTCAGAGTTCCACAGAGAACATGTAGCAGAACCGAGGAAACACGCTGCTTCTGTTGAGCTGCGCTCAGGACAAGCTCTGGCTGAGGTGAGATGGCACAGAAAGCCCAGCACAGCCTCTCCGGTTTATAAACAGCTGGGGGGCTGTGCCCCACGGCAAGGCTAGTGTCCCCTTCTCTGTCCACCCCCAAACCAGCAAAGGGAGCCTGGGACGCTACTCTGTCCTGGAGTTGATGGCTGGAGGGAGGGCTGAGTTCCAGCCCAAGGGAATTAAAGGCCAGCAGCCCCAGTAGTATCAGTCTCTTTATTGGGTGTGAGGGACAGGAGGCTCAGCCCCCAAATATACCTCCCAGCTCAGGAGTGGGGGGCAAGGGAGATCCTGAAGCCCAGGCCAGGCTGGGACCTCTGGCTACAGCATGCTCTTTGAGACCTGGGGCTTCACTCGGATCACGCCCTCCTGGGCACAGGACACAGCCAGGACCCCGTCCCGACGCCACAGCCTCCCATGCACCAGCCCCCGGGAGCCACCTGCGTACAAGGAGAAGGGTGAGAATGGCTTCTGTCCTTCGGCAGAGCCAGATGCGCTTCTAGAAGAGGATCCTGCCCAGGTCGGGCTCCCCACCCCACCCCACCCTCGCCCCCCGTAAGGTCACACTGAGTGTTGAGATCACTCCAAGTCTCCAAGTAGTCCTTGATGAGACAGTATGGCCTGGTGGGCCTGGGGAGCACTTCCTCCCATGGCACCCCATTTGACAGTTGAAAGCACTTTCATAGCCTCTCACTTCCTCAGAAAGTCACAGGGAGGAGTTCTGAGAGGCTTAGCCAAGCAGAGCTGCCCTACCTCTAGCCACTTGTGTCAGGCAATTCATCAGTTCCCTTTATTATAAATCAAACCAGGACCTTCAGACGAATAATTCATGAGAAATACCCCAGGCACATACCTAAGTGGTTGAAGAAGAGAGGAGCGCCCGGGGCCAGGAGGCCCGCCCACCCCCACCCCCACCCCAGACTCCCTCTTGCTGGCCTTGGGCCAGAGTCTGGTGCTGTGGAGGAGCTGCTGTGTCCCTCACACAGCGGCTTAGTCCTCACAGTAGCCAAGAGGAGCAGCGCTGCTGTCCCACTCTCCAGGTGATGACTGTGAGGTCCAGGAAGCTCAGGAACGTGGCCTTAAGGATCAGACCAGAACCCAAGGCTCTGACTTCCAGGTGCCGATCCTGTACTGTGACGCTACTGGCCCAGAGACCCCGGTATAAAACTGCCTTAAGTTTTGTCCCTGTTCAACAAAGCCTCTCTTCATTTCAAATGTCCTTCCCTGTACAGCCATGCAGGAACGCTGACACTGGACACTGGGAGTCCAGCTTTCTCTGTCGACTGATGAGAGTAGTAGTCTAAGTAAATACTCCCTGCCCTGAACCAGCTTAATCATCAAAACCACTCAGGGAACTTCTTAAAAATACAGATTCTTGGCCCTCACCCAAGACCCACTCAGTTGAAAGCTTGGGGTGAATCTGAGAATCTGTTTTAAAAAATCCTCCCCAAGTGGCAGGCTCTAGAGCAACCCCACTTGTTTAGCTGGCTCATAGGCTCAGACAGGAGATGGGACTTGCCCAAGAAAGCAGGCTCCCTGAACCCCCAAGGTCAGTGCCCTGGCCCCATCACCCCCATACTCACCAGCCCAGGGGCTCTCGCACTCATAGAGCATCCAGTGGTCGGCTCGGAAAGGGGTGTGGAACCACATGGAGTGGTCCAGGGAGGCCATGAAGTGCACCCGATGCTGCCACCGGTGGGGCAGCATGGCTGTGCCCAGGAAGGCGTAGTCTGAGATGTAGGCAGCTACGCAGCAGTGCATCTTGATGTCGCCCTCCCCTGCAACAGGCCCGGCCCCGTCAGCCCTGGTCAGCCCTGGCCTCTGGGCTTTACAGCTCAGGCCTGCAGGGAGGTGGGGAGAAGGGGCTCCACGCAGAGACGTGCAGACTCACTGCACATGGGCTCAGGCCCAAGGTGTGTGTGGGGTGACTGAGTACTGAGATCTGGCCTTCACTGCTGAGCCCCCCACCCTAGACCCTGGAAGCGATGTCTTCCGTTTGCACAGAGGCGCCTTATGGTGAGCAGTGGACCTGGAGAAGCATCTCAAGAAGGTGCCTCGCCTTAGGGTTATAGTTACCTCCCCACTCTCCCCACACAGAGGGCTGAGAAGCCCTGGTGAAAGAGCTGAGCCAGCGTCTCCGTCACCAGGTGAAGTAACAGGCCCGGAGCCCTGAAGAGTCTCCTTCAGTCCGTGGGGTCTTCTTACCAATATAGCCCCGTGCTCTCACCCAGAACATCTGTTTGGGCTCCGCGGTCTGCAGGTGGCTCACAGTGGGTGGGTTTATCAACTTGATCTCAATGGGCACCTCCTGGGCAGCGATTCGGTTCAGTCCCACTCGGTACTTTGCTTGGAGGTTAGGGTCCCTGAAAGTGAAGGGGAGACAGACTCAGGAAGAGAAGGAGCTGCTCCTCTGAGCTGCCTCTTCCGATTGCCTGTGTTCCTCACCGGGCCTCCTGGCGTACCCAAAAGCACCCCACACCCCTGGCAGGCAGGACAGTACAGCAGGGACCCAAGTAACGTCGTTTCAGTCAACATTATGATGAGGGTGAAAAAAAATTCCCCACCAACGTAGAAGGGACCGTTGTTAATCCAGAACTTGGGCTCGTTACGTCCTTTGCATAAAATCACAGTCAAGAGCGCGCCGATGACATTCAGTGAGGACTTGCTGTAGCATGTTTGAATCCCTTTGCTGCCATATGGCCATTTGCAGGTTAGCCATCGGGGCCTATTTCCCCGTCTGCAGAATGTCGCTAAGGACAGAGCTACCTCATAATTCCCACCCTGGAGAAGACCAGGCAACGTACCTAAAGCCAACACATCTCAGGCAGTGGATGCACCTGTCCTCTTACACCCATCAACTCGTTCCTCCCTGCCACCTGTGAGGTTGATGCCATCGTCACCCCATCTCATAAATAAGCACCCAGTGGCTGGCTCAAAAGTAGAGAAAGTGGGGCTTGGGCCCAGGCCAACCGCTCCACAGTTCAAACTCTAAATCACTTCACTATTCTAAACAAAGGGGAAGTGACCGCCCAGCTGGCACTACTGAGTTACCTAACTGAACAACAGGGAACACCGTGTCCCAGCCGAGGAGTCCATTTCCAAGGCCTTCACTCCAGTAACAACCACCCCTAGAGCCCTTCACCGAGATTTCCATGTTTATCCCTGTACTCTGTAGACTTCTGTGACGATGGTACATTCTACATCTGTGCTGTCCACTAAAGTAACCACTAGCCACATGTGGCCAGTAGTGCTTGACGTGTGGGAGTGGGATGAGGAACTGAACTGCTAATTCTATTCCATGTTAATAGAGCCACACATGGCTAGTGGCTTTCTTAGCTGTTGACTCAGGGCCCTTTAAACATAGTCCTTTCATTTTGGGAAACACTTGTAAGCTCTGCCTCTGTCAGCAGCGGCAGCTTTACGGTCCACGGAGCTCTCACTAAGCCTTATTATCCTGTTACTGAGGCCTCACTCAGCCTTGGTTGACAGGGTTATTGGCATTACCACCCAGCACGGAGGACACCAGTTCTGAGTGGGAAGGCAACTTGCTCAAACTCAGCCAGCCGGTAGAGAGGATCTAGATTTGAGCCTGACTTTTCCCAGGTTCAAACTCACCTCTGTCCTATCCCCCCTGCCGGCCGCTGGGCCGTTACTAACCAGGCAGACAGAGGCACTCTCCCTAGGACATGGCCATGGAGTAGGCCAGCACCAATGTCCATTCTCAGTTGTTAATGAAAAGCAGGGCCCTGCAAGGCTGTGTTGCACGTGTAGCAGGACACAGCTCACAGGCAGCAGCCAGAATCCCTGTGTCTGTGCCGGGCTGGGAGCATGAGCTCTTCGCCCTGCCCAGCAGCTCCCCAGCTAATTAGCTGTAGTCCAAGTGCAAAATATATTTGGCCAGGTGATCATCAAAATATCTCACACACACTAAGCAAAGGCAACAGGGACTCACCCCTGCCAGGCTGCCACCCCTCGGACGCTGCTGGATCATGGGTGGGCTCGAGGGGAGGGGTCACACAGGGGCAGAGCGGGGGATATTTACCAAGTGGTTATAGAAGTATTTTCAAAGAAGTATAACAACCGACAAGCTCACAGTGCCTGAGCCGGCTGAATAGAAGCCCTGCGTTTCACAGCGTGAGCCCAGCACACACGCTCACACACACCTGAAACTCAAGCTTCACGAGAGGATTCTGACCTACTCTTTTCTAGGCTGCCATGGTTTTTAAATGCTGGTCACGAGCCACCTCAGGATTTCGTGACCACTGCAGTCTGAACACTGTCCTGGGCGTGGGGTCTCTCACCTCAAATACTGCTCAATGAGGGCTTCGTGGTCCAGCAGCTCCTCAGGTGGGGGGACGGGGGGCATGGAGAACTGGTGCTGCATCGCGCTGGGCTGGACCTGCTGGAAGGAGGCCTGGCAGATGAAGATGGGCTTGCCATGTTGCACCGCCTTCACGGAGCGCACGGAGAAGCTCTTCCCTGTTCGTGTCCGTTCTACCTGGTACAGTACTGGCACTTTTGGATCTCCTGCAGTGGGCACAAGGGACACAGTGAGCCCCTAGGTCTGGTCATTCTCCATGCCTTTTCTGCTCATGCTTTTCTAATGACCGAGGTCCACGAAGGCTCAGACCTGGGGACACGAGAACACCAGATCCTGCCAGCCACCTGCTGCCATGTGGTGGATGCCTCTGACGTCAGCGTAGAACCAAAGGGACAGAGCCAGATTCCCTGCATTTGATTCTGGTTCTGCCACTTAGGCGCTTTGTGACTTTGGGAAGGTCACTTAACCTCTCTGAGCAGTATTCACGTCTATAAAATGGGGGTTATCACAGCAGTCATCTCTCCCAGCTCTTTCATAAGCAGGCGACAGCGTCATCGTTGGAAAGTGTTTAGAATAATATCCAGCACATAGTAAGTGTTCTGTGGTAAGTAAAATGAACGCTTTCAGCTTTTGTCTTGTTCCATCTGTACCTGGGACCCTGCCATGGGTCCAGTCTCTTTTGTTCAGATCAGGGGTCAGCAAATCTGGCCCGCTGCCAATTTTTCTGTTGTTTGTTTTCCCTCTTTCTTGATTTTTGAGAACAAAGGCTATTTATTCAGAGTTTATAAAGCAAAGGAGTCAGCCACCACCACTACATTTGCCAGAGATTCCAAGGCTTTCTGCTGGAGGGATGGGAGAGTTTATTGGGATGCCGTGGTTGGAGACTACTGGAAGGGAATGCAGAGGCTGGCTAGCTTGAAGCGGGGCATCCTTTATAATTGGTTAAGGGTTTATATTTGCTTTCTCTCATTGGTCCTAGTTGGAAACAGGCAAAAATTAGGGAAGCTGTCAGTTCCTGTTTGGACTGCTTGATACAGGGGCTGTTGTCTGGCTTCCCCGACTGGTTCCTAGAGATAGTGAATCATGTATTTTGTATATGGCCTGGCCATTGTCTAATTGAATATCGATTCTCTCAAGAAAAATCTGCTGTCGGTCATTTCATCCTCGTTACAACAGAAGTCACCAGGCCCTTTTCCTCTGGGTGTCTATACTCACAGCACAGAAGGTGTCACCCCTAGTTCAGGACTGTTGAGCTTTGACATGCAGGTCAGAAAAAGTTTTTAGGGGGAAAAGCCTCCCCGGGGGTCCCTGAAGTCCTTCACTGCCTCCAGGTCGGAAGCCTGACACCTAGGCAGTGAGATGTCTGGAGGATGATTTTCAATTTTCAAATGAAAAGACATTAGAAAAGCACTGCACCCCTGCCCAACCCAAAGGGGGTTCAGCCAGCCCCAGGGGTCACTTAACACCAGTAACTGCACGAAGCCCGATTGTCTGCCCAGCTCTGTAACCCATCACTGCCAAAGGGGCCCCAGCCCCTCAGAACAGGAACTCCTTAAGGTGAGAAGCCTTTAAGATAGGTTTCCCTGGCCTCCCTGGTGGCGGTGGGTTAAGCATTGGCCTGAGTTCTGTCCCCAGCCAGAAACAAACCCACAGGGCGCAGCAGACGTCTCCTGTCTCCCTGCCGCTCCCCTCAGCAATGTATTTCAGTAGATCCACCTGTTTGTTCCCCACACTGTCTTTGGTGAGTCCTCTTACCCCTGCACCTCTGACCTGCACCCCAGCAATTTATGCGGGGAAAAAGAAAAAAGAGAAAGGTTTCCCATGAGTCCAGATTCCAGAGGTAGCTACTTGTGCCGTCTGATTTCGGGGTAAGGAAAGAAGCCTCCCTTTCCTGCTACTATTTTAAAAAGTAAGGGAAAAAGAGCAACAGAGAGGAAGCCCCCTTGGGTGGATCACAGTCCTTTCAGTTACTGGTGGTTTGCCTTTCAGTGTGAATGAGCACCAGACCTATTCTTGGACATTTTTATTGAACAGAGCAGGCAGGTCCTGAAGCATACAGAAGGGAGGGAGCTAGTGGCTGAGGGCTGTATGCCAGGAAGGGTTACTAACTTATGTCTTCTGCACTGGTCTCACAATACCCATGCAAATTAGGTCTTATCTCCAATGTACAGAAGAGGAAACTGATGTGGTAAGTTACACTTTGGGGGATACAGCCCATTTGTTTATATATTGTCTACTCATACTCTTGCCCACAAAACCTAAAATATTTATTTACTATCTGGCCCTTCACAGAACAATGTTTACTGCCTGCTGCTCTAGAATTTCCAAGCCCTAAACCTATACCAGGTCAGATGACTCTGAAGTACATTCTCTCACTCATGTATCTGGAAAAATACCTTGCAGAAAATTTAGAGCCCCCCCCCAAGAAAAACAAGCAAAAAAGTCTAATATTCTGGGCCTTTAAGGAATGGATATGATAAATGGCAAGGATCAACACACACGTGTGCACACACACTCACATACATCAATCCCTAGCAGCTTTTATTGTCAGTCATTGGAACATCATCATTAGTTACAGCATTTGATGTACTCAGTAGACGGTCACATCACAATCTGGTAAGAGGACTCCCCTTTTTGCTTTGCTGCCAGGAAGCCCAGAACTTTCACATAAAACTACAACATGCTGCGGCCCAATTTATTGACAGAAGTCATTTCCCCCAACGCCCTTAAACCACTAGCCTCCTGCCTTTCATTTGACTAGTCCTATAACAGCTGCCAAGTATTATAAGCTGTTTTGCTGCCTTTCAAGAAGCAAGGAGGGACACAAATAATTGTGAATTTTTGATTAATTTTGAAATAGTAGCTTGGGCATCACTCCTTTCATGCTAAACCTGGATGGAAAGTTTCCAAGGAAAAGCCTATGTCCCCAGCACCTTGGCAGCTCGCCCATCTTTGGGATTACGTAAGAGTGAAAGACCTGTGCAGACTGAGGAAAAAGTGTGATGCCTGGACACACACAAACTCAGGTTCAAATCCTGGTTCTGCCCCGCTGAGCACCATCGCAGCTGATTACATAACCTCTTAAGGCTCCAGTTTGAATGGTGGCAGAATACTCCTGCTTCATGTTTACTTAGGAGGACTAAGCAGGAGAATGTAGACAGCAGTGCACTGTTATGTTTTAATTATCCTTTTAAATGCATCAAAAATTAATATTTAACGGAAAACTAGCAACATGCCAGGTCCTGCACTAGGTAACTTTATCTGTGAGAACTGAAACTGCACACTGAACCTCTCCCTGGTCTCCTAGTAAGAAGAAAGTTCAAAGACCTACAGAGACTAGAGTTAGGGCTGGCTGGCCCTGTTGGGTGAAGAAGTCTTGCGTGCAGGAGAAATGAAATCAAAACCTCTCAGTCTGTTGCTGACCAGAGGCAGTTACAGGAAGTCCAAAAAACCAGCACCCAATCATGAGTCTCCTAAGCGGAGTTTGGGTAAAATTTAACTACCCTGAGGTCTCACTGCCCTCGGTGCAAAGATTCTGAGTCAGAAGCACCCAGAGAGTTTTGACACATCAGAACCCAAGGGCAAAAGCCAGAAGTCCTGGCAAAATCTAATGTATTATTTGACCACAGTACTGTTTTTCATAAGAAAATGATTCCCTTCTTTCCTAGGGTGTATCCTCTCCCCCAAACCAGGGACTCAGTTCTCTCAGGGTGAGATCAATCTGTTACGATTCTGCTCCTTGATTATCTAGTGAAGTCTGCAGTTCTCACTAGAGCTGGGGTCTTCACTTCAGTCCACACCTGTAAAGACTCAGTGCTTTTAGAAACAAAATGAAGAAACACATTTCCAGGGACTAAATAACCCCCCTGCCCCTGAACACAAAATAAAGCGAAACTCCCCAGAGGCGAAAAGGGTCACATTATCTTATGAAGGACTAAATGCCAAAAAGCCAGCACTTTTGGGAGTTTACAACCAAGCTGAAGAAGTAAAGGCCATGTGTGTTCCTAATTATCATAGAGGTAAGTGCTGGACTGGACCCATGGTGAGTACGCAGGGATTTTAGAGCCGTGCCCAGCAGGAAGAGTCAGGTAATAAGAGGACCATAGGAAAAAAGGGAATTTACCACTGTAACTATTTCATATTTGTCAAAGGAAGTGGGAAAGCCCATTACCATTTTAATACCAATCACATATTGTACTAAAAATTGTAAAAAGCACCATACATTCTCAGCTCTTGGGACTATGTAGAAAACACTGATTATTAAAACTGGAGGCATCTGCCCAAGGAGAAGGGAAAAGCAGAAGTGTGTGGTGAGATCTTTGTATTTCTCAAGAGTACGGTTTTCAAAGACTCCTCTCTGTTTGATCCAGAGCTGTGAGCAGCTAGCAGTCAGCTGGTGAAAATATCCTTGATTGTGCCCACCCCCATTTTACAGGTGGGATAATCAAGCCTCACTCAAGGTCAGCAGCAAATTCACGGCAAAGCTGAACTCAGACCCTAGACTTCTAGATTCCCAGGCTGGTATTTTCTTCTCCAAGTCAAGCTGGCTACCTCATACCCCCTAGGAGAGGTTATAACACCTCTCCACGAATCCAGCTCAGCACTAGGCACCAGAAAGCATGTAAAGAACAAGAACAAAAGCTATTAAACAGCAATCTCCTGTCATCATGGGCCCACTAACAGCTACCTGGTGAGTTCCACTGGTGTGTTCCAAGGCTTTTCTAGAGCCCATCTCACAAGTCAAACCTGCGGGGGTCAAATAGATCTCCTTTCCTCCACCCTTCTCTTCCTCTTTTCTTTCTCCTCTGTCAGCCCCCACTGGGCAGGAAGAAGTGGCTGCTGGGAAGGGGACAGAAAGGGATGGCTTACCTGCCCGAACGAAGTAGCAGTGCAGGGAATGTACATGGACATCTTCACTCACAGACTTGGCTGCAGCCACCAGGGCCTGGCCCACAATCTGACCCCCGAACAGCCGCTGAGTTGTGGGTACCCAGTGATGCCTTCCTCTGTGGGAAGAAAGGGCAAGCAGAACAGGCTTGGGGTCTGGGACAAATCCTGGGACCGTCAATGGCTGCCAGTACCCATTTTAGGGACTGGGATCCTTTTGAGAATCTGGTAAGAACTATGAACCCCTTCTCCAACCAAGTGTCCATACAATACTCTACATATAATTAGTGGCCTCCTAGACCATTCTGTGAACTTGAGGACCACTTGACCCATCTATGGATCCATCCCCTTATATTCCACTACAAGTTTGGACAGGGATCAGAGAGAAGTGACTAGAACCAGGTCACATAGTTTAAATACTGCCCATCCTGTACAGTACCTTCGGACCCAAGTCCAGAGTTGGCGTCCACCATACAAAGATGAGGTAGAAGCCTACTGAGTCAATCAAGATGAACCCCAAGATCTCAGGGTGGAATGTGTTAAAGGCCTGCCACTTATACCCCTTGACATTGCACCGGCTTAGTTTCCAAGAACTAGATTTAGAGCGTGAAGGTCCCACTTCAAGTCCAATCCCTTCAGCTTACCAGTGAGGAAATGAGGCCCAAGAGTTTAAAAGGCATGCCCAGTGAGGGCTCCTGAAGGATTTAGATCCCCCCAGCACCACCACCACCACCACCCAGGCCCCTAAGCCAAGCTAGGCTTCTACCTCACCTTTGTATGGTGGACGCCACCCTGGACTTGGGGTCAGAAGGTCTACACACTGTACGGGATGGGCGTCATACAGAGCATCGCAAATAGCCACCCCCTCCCGGGAAGTTATGACTCTTAAGGGTGTTGGGGGGCAGGGAGATTGGAGAGGGGGGTAAGTTAACACTGAAGATAGCTTCCAGTAAGCCAAAACTGTTAAATTTCCAGCTGCTGAGTGAGACTTAGTCTCAGAATGCACAATGACCCCACCAAGTGGTCGGAATGGGTATACAGAAGGGGGAAAAACGAATGCTCCGAGGGGCAGATACATTTTCAATTTGACCAGCTGCGTGCCCTTGGACAAGTCACCACCCTCATGACTGACTCCCCCAGGGACAGGACCCCACAGGACAGGCTGCGGAGAAGGCTGTCTCAGGTCACCCCTTTATTTGCCCCTGTCGCCAGGTGGCCAGAGAGGGTGAGAAGACACAGTAGCAGCGACAATAGTTCTGTCGGGGATAGAAGACAAGCCTGCACGCCGCGTGAGCCCATCCTCGCCCCAAAGCAGGGTGCTAAGAGGCGGCGGCGGTCCTGATCAGGAGCCTCTGTCCCAATGTGGGGGTGCGGGACTGGTGGGGCCGGCTACCTGAAGAGATCCTCGTCCAGCGGCTCAAGGTTAAGGACACTAGTGACCAGGACGCTGCGGAGGTCCCCTGGGGGATCGCCGCCGCCCTGCTCATCCTCCGGGGCCTGCGGGGACATGGCGATCTCCCTACGGACCCAGGACTCGCGCCGGACCCGACACGAAGAGACCCACTGAGAACGCGCAGGTTCCGGCAGCTTGTTCTAGCAGCCGGAAGTCCTCTGCGTCCCGGGAAAAGCGTGGTGACGGTTACGATTGGTCAGCTCTCCTGTCAGTCTTCGGGATTACGCTACTTTTCTCTAGCGATTGGAGCAAATAAGTGACAGTCTGAGAATCTCGTGTGTTATTGGATATGACCGAGAGGGGCGGAGCCCGGGGCAGAATAATAAGGGCTGAGAGTCATTTCCCCTCTGTCAGATAGCAAAGGAGCCCCCAGCCCCTCTTAAGCGCCTCGGGCCTGGGGCTCCTCCAGAGCTCCGTAACGGGCCGGCCCATTGGGGCCACCGTCCAGGCGCCCACACCAGCCTGTCGCCCCTCAGAGTGTGGGGTTTTTCTGGGGGCGGTCATGGAGCTGGGCAGCTGCTTCAAGACCTACGAGGACTTCAAGGAGTGCTTCAGCGCCTACAAAAAGGAGAACAGGTGCTCCTTCATTCTCAGGGACTGCGTCTCCGTCCGCTTCCACAACCTCAACCACGGCACCTCCATCCGCGAGGACATCCTGTAAGGGCGGGGCAGGGGCGGGGCTGCAGGGTGGGCAGGGGACCGGCGGTCCCCAAGAGGGCGGCCTGGAGGAGGCGGGAGAGCAGTTGGGCCCTGGCCTCTCTGGCATTCAACAGGCACTCATTGGGCACCAGCTGTGGGCTAGTGAAAAACGAGCAAAACCTCCACGGCATGGCTTTTGGAACACCCACTTCACCGTCACTCACTCCTTCATTCTCAGCTTTTCTAGAATTCATGGTGACTACAATTTGTCCCCTTTTCTTTCTTCTTTGAGCATCTGCAGTATCCCAGACACAAAATAGAACCTTCACAAATGATTAAAAAAACAGCAAAACCCGTTTAGGGGAAAAGCCCTTGCTCAATGACAAGTCAGTGGGTGTTCATTCATTCATTTATTCGTTTTGCAAATGGTTCTTGAGCTCCTGAGATAAGCCACCATTTTTTTCAAAGACTTTCCACACCCCAGGCAGCCTTCTCTATTCTCTGCATGCTTCACCTGCAGGGCTGCATTGAGAATTATAGATAAGTGTTATTTTTCCCAGTTGGCAATGAAAAAAAACCAAAATCATCTTAGAAGCTAAAATAAGGGTTGAAAACGCAAATACCACGCTGGATGAGAAGTTTAACTTTTACTAAAAGAAAAAGAATGATGAAATAACCCTCTCCAGGTCTTTGTGCTAGGAACAGCAGAAATGTAAGCTGAGCGAAATGGAGATCGGTCCTAGCTAATTAGTCCGGTTGATGGCTGCCATGTGAAAATGAAGATCAAGAGTTGTCAGAATTTGGGGCAAGAGCTAATGGAAATCCAGGCCTTATGTGATATTGAAAATCATTTCAGATTTGATCACACATTATGTGGGCCAGCTCCAAGCCTCAGAGTATATGCTTTTGAGACCTCTGGGTGAAACACATGGCCAGGATTCCCCATCTGGGCTCCAGACTATGTATGTGTTTTCCATACAAACTGAAGTCCAGTGCTATGCTAGGTACAGGTAGTAACCAGATCTGCCCTGAAGCTGCTTAAGATGGGATAGAATTGGACCCAGGTAAGCTCACGAGTGTGTGATAAATGCTTAAAAGCTGCAGAGGTGACAAGTGCCTGAGGACTGGGGAAAGACTTCCCAACAGAAGCTGTGGCCTCTCCTGGCCGTGAGGGCTAGAGGAGGACTTCACTGGTTAACTACTGAGTTGCTTGGGGGAGTTTGAGAATTTGACCAGAAAGAGATGTGCAGAAGGAGCTGTGGGGCAAAAGTGTAGACGTGTGAAGGGAGGTGGTGTGTTCAAGAAGTACCATGTGGTGCCACGTCTGGCAGTGAGATCACTTACAGTCTACCTGGAGGGTCCTTAGCTATTATTGTGAGGTATTCGGGTTTTTGGCCTGTGCCTGTGGTGTCTATCTCACCAGCGAGGATAGCACAGAAGGGCTGTGCTCTGTAGCTGCTGACCGTCTAGGTCAATAGCTTCCCGTGGCCCTTCCCGCGCCGTCCAGGACCATCACCTGGCTCTGCATCCATCTGACCCGCACCTCTCCATCAGGCTGACCTCAAGCCCAGCCCTTCCCACGCCCACAGCCCTTGCTCTTCCCACGTATGTCTGCAGGATAGAGGAGTCGCCCACCTGCTTACCTTAGCTCGATTCTCCTCAAGTGTCCAGTCATCTTGTCTACTATCATCTTAGTACTAAATATTCTGTGCTACAATTTAACACTTTTTTTGTATTTAGTTGCTTTTTTTTACATTATTCTTCATTCTGTACCTTTTTTCATCTCTGTTGTATTAACATTTTTTGCTTAAATTCAGTTTTAATATTCAAAGAAATCTATTATATAGATCCAATCTAAGCAATAATATATAAGAATTAACATTATATATTAATTGTGGGCCCCCATAAAAGCTATATATTTGTAAATATTAAATATTCTTGGGCAACCAGAGGTCTTTTTGGACCATTTGTGGAGAAGCTGTTACTCTTCCTTCAGGGCGTACCTTACTTCCCAAGTCCTTAACTCCCTGCAGGTGAGGTGAGATACTCTCTGGTCTGCCAGCACCTGTTACAGCTCTTTGCCCCTTGGTGCTCTGGAATACAGCATGCAGAAAGTTCCCTGGTTTTCAGTGAGCTCTCTGAGCTCTTCCAGGAAAGGATTCTAGTTTACTTTTTTTTTTTTTTTGGGTTTTGTGTTTATCTCAGTGCTTAGTACGTGTAAGAGCAAGTTCAGACACTTCGCCGCCGCTGGCACCTAAGTAAACACCCTTTAGGTAACCCATCCCCAGAGTTCTGCTGAGGAGCTTGACCCATAGAGGGCAGTAGTTGTTGAGTGAGTGAGTGCTCAAGTGACCACAGGAACTCAGGGAAAAATCCTGATGAACTGGAGAAGAAAGAGAAAAGGGAAGAAAGCACTGTGTCCCCTCTGGGAGCTGTCAGGAGGTTATTCGTCTTTATTTGCTGTGCTAACAAATGATTGCAAATGTAGTGGTTTAAACACCGTGGTTACTCTCTCACAATTCAGTAGGATAGCCATCAGGCTTTGCTGGGTCCAGATCGCTGTGCGGGCAGGGCTGCATCTCTTTGTGGGCTGCTTAGAGCAGAATCTGTTTCTTGTCCAGCGCCCTCACTTGCGGCCTCATGGTCCCCTGCCATCTTTAGAGCCAGCGATGACTGGTTGAACCCTAATAGCACGTGGTGATGCTGCTGTGATCCCATCTCCTTCCTCGGCCCCCTTCTGCCTCCCTCTTTCATTTTTAAGGACCTGGGGTTACATTTGGCCTACCCCGATAATCTCAGAAATTTTCCCTCTAAAAAATCAGCTACTTGGGCCCTCCCTGGTGGCGCAGCGGGCTAAAGCACTTCACTGAGAAGCTTGAGCCACTTCTGCATGAGTTCGATTCCCGTCTGCCCCGGAGGAGATCCACATGGTGTGGCAGACCTTTCCTGACCCGCCCGCTGCTCCCCTCAGCAGTGTACTTCGTCCATCTGCCTGTTCTGCACCCCACTCTGTCTCTGGTGAATCCTCTCACCCTCCACATCTCTGGCCTGTACCCCAGTTCTATATGAATAAATAAATAAATCTTTAAAAAAAAAATCAGCTACTTGGCAACCTTCATCCCACCTGCAATCTTAATTTCCCTTGCCATGTCACCCAACATTTCCAGGTTCTGGGTGTTAGGAAGTGAGGAAGTGGACGTGTAGGGGCACCATCCTGCCTGCCACAGAAGGACCGCCGTCCTGAAGGGCGAAGTGGTGTCAGTGCAGGTGTGCACGTGACGTGCTTAAAAGGCGTCGCGAAGGCCTGCTGAGCTGCAGGGAAGGCTGATGCTGCAGCAGTGGGAGCGACTGCAGGGGCCAGAGCCGGGCTGGTGCTGGTCGGGCTGGTGCTGGTCTCCTGTACTTGTGTTTTTGGAGGTGAATCAGTTTTAGAGACAAAGTTGTTTTTGAGTGGTTAATGTAGCCATTTATTGAACATTTAGCTTCAAACTCTATACAGGGGCCTAAAGGTCAGTGTCGGTTCCAGTGTGTTGCCACAGAGGCATCCACTGGTCAGTTCCAGACACCCGAAAAGCCTGAACAAGTGCCCTTGTACCCACCTGTGAACTTCTCGTTGCACCAGACTGCACACTGCGTGCGCACGTCTCCCGCGGCTTTCTCAGTTTTCAGTGAATTTTAGAGATTTTCCCCCATCACCGATTCCATTTTACGGGGTAGCTACTAGTCACTGTTTACTGAAAACTCCACGATGTCTAGAAATACAGTGTGGAGAGGTCACTTGGGTCCCCAGCCTCGTGGAGCCTCCCCTCTAGCTAGGGAGATGAGCATTAAACTGCAACCATAGGCATCGTTAATTTTTTCTTTAAAATAGACGAGCCCCAGAGAAAGCCTAGGGTGCTGGGTGGGGTGTGACTGGGAGCCTTCGTCTGTGTGTGGGAGAGGGGGTGAGGGTGTGCAGCTTGACCCTTGAGACCAGTAAGGTCCTAGAAAGCAGCCACCTGACATTTTGCAGAGATGGTTCCCACAAGCACACTCACCTTCCTTGTTGGGCTTGATGTTCTGAATGACCTCGTCAGAGGCAGGTTTTGGTCTTCCATGAAATGAGTTAGTACTGACAAATAGAAAACAGTATATTTCCTTTTTCCCTAGTAATCAGCACACAGCAAGTTTATTGAGGAAAGGAAAGAGAGACACCTGCATAGGCCCAGGCAAGCAGTCTTAAAAGACAAGAACTGCTGAGAATGTTCTATTCTCTAGTACATAGAATAATCCATAAATATTACCCACTGTTTTTGTTTTTTTTTTAAAGATGTACTTATTTATACAAGAGCTGGTGTACAGGCCAGAGGTGCGTGGGTGAGAGGATTCTCCAGAGACAGGGTGGGAGCAGAACAGGCAGATGTACCAGAAATACACTGCTGAGGGGAGGGGAGCAGCGCGCGGGTCAGGAGAGGTCTGCTGCACCATGTGGGTCACCTCTCTGGTCAGGGATCGATCTTATACTCCTGTGGCTTTGGATAGCTTCATAGTGCTGCTCTTTAACTCGTTGTGCCACCAGAGAGAGCCAGTATTAATCACTGTTATTATTAGGCAGATGGGAAAATAGAGCCAGGAAAGGTTCAATGTTGAGAGAAGACTAATAGTTTCTACTCTTTGTTTTACGTTAAGGTTCTGAGTTTCTTGCTCTTTGAAATCTGTTTTCCAAGTTTCAACTGCTTGAGGGTAGAAGATAGTAAAAGTTACCACCAGCAGGGACTAAGAGAGTCAAGACTTGGCAAAGATAATAAGAGAGCCGAGAACGAAATGCATCCTCAGCCACACAATCACCTGATGTGAGTCAGGGAAGTCTGAATCCGGTGCAGTTACAGCCAAGAAAAAGAGGAAGTGGCAGAAATGCGGGGCAAGTTGGAGCAGGGTAAGGTTTCTCGAACGTCGCTCAAGCAAGCTCATGACGGTTTCATCAGTGACAACCACGTGCAGGACAGTGGTCCCAGCAGCTGCTCCATGTAACCTAGGTG